TATATATACAATTATTACAACATGCAATAAAATACAGGAGCAGACAGTTATGTTATTATTTATAATAGATTAGACAAACTATGCAGTGCTACGAATCCTTGCCCTGCTGGGTGATCACTACAGGGAGACTGTGTTGCATCCCCCTCCTTCCCCCTGCCGCCCCAATTTTAACAACAACAGGTAACTAACTGAACATCCATCTGAAGCACAACTGGCCAAAAGACACCAAAAGACAATGAGCAACAATTTTTAACAATAAAACCTTCCAGAACACTGACGGGATGAAGGACCAATATGTTAAGCCAAGCAGGGCTTTGTAACCTTTTAATAAAAAAAAAGAAAAAAAAGAAAAGCTGTTAAAAATGATAGAAAAAGAGAATAGTCAAGTTTGGTTAACAGGTTTTAGCATACAAAGAGGAAGGAAAATCTTATGTCTCATTGATCAAGGATATGCAGTGGAACACAGATTTTCTTGCAGTAATTTTTTATTTCAACATAAACACTGATTACAGTACAAAAAGACGGTCTTTCACACAAACACCATGATAAAAACTTTACCATTCATTAATAGTTTATTATTACAGTCTCTATGCAGGTATTTTAATGTTTTTTTCAGTGGAAACAGTGGAAGACTAAATGTGTTTCAATCTCAAAATACTTTTTCTACATATTCAAATTCTGACGTGTTTAACATATTTAATCAGGTTGCTCTTGATTCTTTTAACTATGTTTACACAGTTGTTTCATTTCAGAAATTTCACAGCAATTGTTATGTGCCGAAAGATGAATATTTTTTATGCAAATCAGAGATGGTCGAGCAGAAAAGGTTCCAAAAAATGTGCTGCTCTGGAATTAAGTGACCCTTGAATCAAATTTGAATCAGAATACTTTATTAATCCCTAAGGAAATTGTGTAGGCTACTGACTACCTTTTCCTGGTACATGAATATCACCCTGAAAATAATATTTACATTAATACTTTACAACAACCTTGCAGTAATTTACAGAAATGTTAATTAAAAAGGAATGGGTTGTTAGCATGACAGGAAAGAAAGTAGGGGAATTATGTGGGCACCCATGTAATCACACCCCTGGTGCAGTAATGTCCATTTTAAACATAATTACTTTGATAACTTGGGCTTTTTTAAAGACAGCACATAAGATTGTAAATAAAACAGAAAAAAAAGCAACCGACAGTCATGACCAGACTACAGTAGGAATCTTGCAGCTTGGATGTGTATGCAAGTGTATATGTAAAGAACTAGAGCATAATTTCAACACGTAAAAGCGTATTATCTATAAGATGAAAAAAATCCTCTACTGTAGATTGTTTCATACCAAGCAAGAGTAAGTAGATCTAATCCAGCCCAAAAGCTTTGATGGCTGTGTAGATCTGCTGCTTCTCTGCTGCCTTTGCATCCTTTTTGTTGCAAATATCAGCTTCCATCACGGCAAAGACAACAGCAGAAAACATCTGTGTGTCCTTAATCTGGCAAATGTAAATGGAACATATTCAAAAATGTAAAAATGCTTATTAACCTTTAATATTTATTTTTAATTTTCATATTTGTGAGAGTAATCGTAGCATTTAATACTTCACCTGTTGTCTTTTCTGATCACTAAGGTTTTTCTGCAGGACAGGAGCTTGATCATAGTACAGAAAGACAACAAGTTAATATCAAATTAAGAATCTTTTATTTTGTTTATAGTGAACTGTGAGTAACTTCAATTACCTTTGTGATCACTGTTGTTGGTTTTTTTGGTTAAGTAAATGAGGACAGCAGTAACAATGAGATTTATACCCATGACAGCACAAAGCACAAAAACAACTGTACTGGCTGTCTGTGATGATGCACTGCTTTCTGCAACAATAGTAAAAGTGAGAAAACAAAATTAGAGTTGCCTAATGGTAAGATTACAGTAGTTATGAAATAAAAAATTGGATTAATTACTGGTACTTAAATATAAATATTATCTGATTTATGTATATTATATGTCTTGATTTAAAAATCAGGCACAGATACCTTGAACATCCAGTGTAGTTCCATTTCCAAATAATATCTCCCCACATGTGGCCACAGCACAGTAGTAAGTCCCAGCATCAGAGGAGCCGACGTTCTTAGAGAAGCGATAAACACATCCATCCTGAGGGTCAGATCTTTTCTCACATTGATCAGTTCTGTTTCCATGAGTGTAGATGATGTTTGGAAGAGATTTATTAGATCCATCTCTGAACCAGAAAACATTATTAACTCCTGAACATGTGTTTTTCTCAGAATTTGTCAGAACTGAACACTGAAGAGTTGCTGTGTCTCCTGGACGGAGTGGATTTGATTCTGTCGGCTGCTGTACAACAATATAGTTTGATGTCCTTTCAGTGTTTCCTGTGTAATACAAAAATATAATACAAATAAATTATTCACCACATTCTCAGAGGCATTTAATCATTTTGTAAAAGTTGGTCAGTTCATTACCTTTTACTAACAAATATGTCCCACTCCATTCAAGTTTAATCCAGGTGTCTATTCCACAGTGATACATTCCCTCATCCTCTTGGGCTACATTCCAAATGGTCAGGTTGCTAAAATCTTTACTGTTATGTGCAGAAAATCTTGACTGAAAAAACTCTGAAGAAGGTTTTCCAGAAAGTGACACTAATAATTTAAGAGTATCCCCGACTCTCTGCTTGTACCACTGAACCTTTCTGCTGCCGAGCTCTTCATTTGGTAAAACACATGTTAATGTTGCTGTTTCACCAACATGGACTGGTTTCACTGGAACCAGAGAATCTGCGGTAAAAGAAAACGTTCAGTTTTTATGTTATTATCTCTCTTATTATCTCTATGTCTATCTATATATGAATCTATTCCACATAAATAATACGTTCAGTTTGGTCAGATAAAACAAAAACAAACAGAAACAAATCCCCCCTTACTTCCTCGATGAAGAAAAAGCAATGTAATCCATAAGACGACCATCTTGAGAATGCACCTTAGGCTTTTTCAGTAAGTTAAGAAAGGGAAATGAGCACACTGGGTTAGACCATAAAATGCGTCTGATTGGTTAACACAGAAAACACTTAAAATAAACTTCCTGTGACACCAATATCATCTTGATCTTTTTCTAAAACAAATGATCTTTTTTCATTTCCTGTTACAATGTTTGTTCACTTCCTTTTTTTTGACTCTGTATGTATGGTTTAATATCTACTGCAAAAACTGCCTAAAACACCACAAGTTCTGCAGTTCAGGGAAATGTTAAGTTGAGGGACCATAACATTTTGT